TGAGAACACAATAAAAAGAACTTCAAGTGTAATTGACAAAATACTAACGTGTTTCATTCAATGTTTCCATAGAATTTCCTTGCCTGAAAACATTTCTGTATTTTTTTATTGAAATATTCTTTCTTTTTTGTGGGAGGTGTTTTTTTTTTCTTTCTTTTAGATGCTCGAGGTGTGCTGATTGTTCTTGAGTGTTCTAGGCAAAACCTATTAATCTGTGATAAAATTATTTTTTCTGTTATTGAACTGATAGAAGAATATTGATTTATATACAACCTTGTAACTAGTTTGGTTTTTGATCAAACAATATGTAATTCTGTACGTTTACAAGTTATTCTTGGATATGAACAACTATTGCTCTTATACAAGTTCGTCATGTTCATGTTTCTATCATGCAAACGCATACCAGATATAATGTACTACATGCACATAAAAATCAGGAGATGTGCTATGATTGCCTTTGGGACAACTGTCAACCGTAGTCCATGACATGGATTGAGGCTATTAGAGGTCTCTGAAAATCTTTATCAATGCACAATTCTATAAAGTCAGCGACGCGACGCGGCTATTTTAAAACAGTTCAAAGGAAAAACCCTAACGGCATGATTTATGACAACATAATCAAAGAAAACACAAATATGACAGACATCAACCAAAAAAAGGTAAAATAACAAATATACCGAACTCCGAAGAAAATTCAAAACGGAAAGTCCATAATCAAATGGCAAAATCAAAAGCTCAAATTACATCAAACGAATGGATAACAACTGTCATATTCGTGACTTGGTGCAGGTATTTTCTTATGTAGAAAATGCTGAATTAAACCTGGTTTAATAGCAAGCTAAACCTCTCACTTGTATGGCAGTCGTATAAAATTTCAAACAGCAACCACTGAATTATTTGCGTATGACTTTGGACAGGAGTGGGGAAGGAATTTGATCCCCAAATCAGTTGTTTTAACAAAGTACAAATAACAGTTTTTTTCCATGTTTGATGAAATGTTTTTTTTTTTCCAAAATCAAACTTTAAAAAAATATATCTGCTCTTCATCAAATGGATACCCCTAGTCTTCTCTAGCTTTACTGTTTCTGATAATTGGTTTGTTATCTACTCTAAAACTGTTGACTTCTTTGGATTTTCAACCACTTTTGGTATCACGCATTATAAAACTGATAAAACAAGACTCGTTGAAATTGTGCATAATATAAATAATATCTTTCATTCTGCAAATCAAATCTATTGATCATTACCGTCTGTTATTAAATTACGACGGATCTTGAGTTCGTCCATAAATCATGATTCATGAAATACCAGAACAAATCAGCTGTTAAAAAGTGGAGATATTGGTGTTCATATGAATACCTTAAACCTGTCGAATTTAGGATACAGAAGTTGACCAGTGTTTAAATCTAATATTTCAATTGAGAAGAGATCCATAAAGGTAACAAACACAAATCAAGGAAAACGCTTAAACTCCAGAAGAAGCGAAACAGTGTGCATCGATAGGGAATACATCATTGACTATATATATATATATCTATGCATTACCTGTCATGCGGATTCCCACTCAGTCAAAAGTGGCACAATCGGGATTCTGACCCAGTCCGTAAAATTATAAAGCAGACAACTCTACATGTTTCTACAGATCTAAGACCGCCAAAACATGTCGCTTGTGAGTTAGCACACAGACATATTGTATCGGTCAACTAACTCTTAATGATGACCGTAAATTTTATGCTGTGTCGATTTTAAGCCCTTCATTACTCTGTTGGACCAGCTTCGTGTAAGGAGCATATTCCTGTTAATGAAGTCCGTATTATGTGAAAAGGACAAGCGAAACGTATTTACGGAAATATGTATACGCCATGCGATGGAACATATGGTATGATACTGATTGATATCGGCAGTTTACAATTTGACAGTTGAAATCAATCCGACAGAAAGAAAGATGAACAAAAAAGGCATTTATTGAACAAATATCTTGCAATTTAACTTGAACTACGGTGAACAGATTTTCTCCGATCAATTTGTGCTGACTTCCGATTTTCCCGTTAACAATAGCTATTTGCCTAATGTGTGTATACACATGATCATGGGCTATTAAGAAAAATGAAATGTAAGGGGAAAAAAAGGAATATTCTTTGTTGCAATTAATTTGACCGCAAACAATAATTCCACCAATTTGATATGTAAACTTCTGAGATTTTCTTTATATTAGCGCATGCATGAACTTTATAGACATTTTTCTGTCACAGAATCATTGGTGAAAAAAATAAAAGAAGAAACAAGTCTTAATTCTTTTGATGCCTTCAAATTTATTTTATTTTTGAGTATTTAGTTGATTGATCTTCTTAATCAGATATCTACCATTTGGGGATCAGTAATTTGCTATGATGGAAGGAATAATTTTTCGACTGCGTAAGTTGTCAGTGTTGGTATATGAGATCCGCATCAATGGCATAGAAATGTTCAAGCTGTTATCAGTTCTGGTAAAGACTCGATCTTAAAACTACCGCCAATTAGATTTTCAAACATATTTTGAAATGTTTTTTTATGAATATTTTTCTGTGATTTTGTATAATTTACGGTCTATAATTTACCGAATATGTTAACTGTACAATAACCTGAAATTGACCTACACATGCATTGTTGTTGTAGACTGATAAAGTAGTAAGAAATACACAAATTCTTTCTTGTATATAACACCCGACATTTAATCATCTTTCCTAAAGTTTGATTTGTCTATTTCTTGTGTATATCAATACCCGTAGTCAAAGGGATCATTCTAGCAAAGTCCTCTTTTGAAAACAAAAGAAAGTATAGAGACTTTTAAATTTTGTTACGCATTTACATGATATATCTGTTTTGAAAATTATTGCTTTTAGATAATAAACTTTTCTTAATAAAATGATTTAGAAAACGTACAAAGGATAGGATATTTATGAACCATATACATACACATCATTGCTGTTTACTCGCACTAGGTTTTTGAGTTTGCAAAACGCTATCCTAAATGTGGATTTCTCGATTTTTCAGTCATGGGATTAAACAAGTCAAATGACTTCTAAACATTTAACATCGGTTTTAGAAATAACTAATTTTTGTTTTATTTTTAATTTTTTTGTTCAAGTTAAGCATTCAGCTTCTATATGTTCTTTATAAAGACACTGAAATCTTTAATGACAAATTGTTTCATTGACTGATTATTTATTTCTCAATGTTTACGACTTACCATAAACTGAACAGAAACATGAAATGGTCTTGGTATCAAGTTATTATATATGTTTGCTATAATATAAAAATATCAGGACGACGAAAAGGCATGAAGGTAGATCCAGAAAAGCGCTTCGAACGCATTAAATTATTAACGTGTTGTTTTTATTTTTTTCCAATATAAATCCATGCAAATATCATCGCTTTATCAACAATGAAATGCTGCACACGTGGACATCTTTGTGTTTAGTTTTCTAAATTACTATATTTACTGATTTAATAGAACCTTATATTAAAAATATTGTTGGTTATATCTAATGTTCTTAAATCCTCCACTGATAATTTCGAAATTATTCAGGAAATAACGATCAAATTAGATAAGGCAAAAATAACCTTAGATGGATTGGGCTCCTCTTTTAAGATTAATTTTTCTCCCGAGTTGTACGCAAAGTCAGCCCTACCTCAAACCAAATCCTTGAATCAACGAAAGAATTCAAAATTCGAAGTAACATTTTAATTTATTTTGTGGTAATGAAATCTCATTCTTTCATTGAAAACTGAGAAATTCACCACAGACAGCACCTGATTATGATGATCTTTTCCGATTTTCATGATAGTAATCTGTAATCTGCTATGAACAATAGCGAACAAGTTTGAAAATATACACAACGTAAGAAGGGTCATAATAATCACAACCGTCCTAAAAGAAAACCTAACTGTGTTTTTGTTAGATGTTTTCTTTTTCTGCTTTGTATCGATCTGATGAGTTAAGCCCTCTCAACTGATAAACTTTTAAAGTTTGTTCTTATGATGGACTGTTACTCCACTGTTCTATGATAGGGGATGGTTGGCGCCTTCAAACAAGTTTAACTGCGCCACATTCAACATGATGTGCCTGTTTTAACTCAGGACCCTATAATTGAGTGGTTGTTTTTTTTTTCTTTTGCTGTTTCTCATACTTGTTTAATCGTTCATTGTTTCGAATAGTTTGTTATTGTGTATTCCATTACACACCGGTCCCAGGTTAGGGAAGGGTTTGCACCTTCAAACATGTTAAACCCCGCCATTTTTTTAAGTGCCTGTCCCAAGTCCGGAGCCTATATTTTAGTGGTTTCTCGTTGGTTCGTGTCTGTTAAATTTGTTTTTTCGTAATAGTTTCATACTTTTTTATGTCGGAGATTTTTTATAACCGACTACACGTTATTGATTTTTTGTCTTTGTTGACAGCCATACGGCTGCATATAATAGCTTACATCCACTTTATTTGAACATTGATGGATAGTTGTCTAATTAGCAATCTTACCATGCATACCACACTCCTTATTTTTATTTTAAGAGTGAGAAACGCAAAAATCTTCTTTTAGAGTTAAAATGTGTAATTGAAAAGTCTAAATCGATAAATGGACATGCAATTATAACTATTAGTTTTATTTGTAACAAGTTCCGTAAAATTTAATTCCACAGAATTATTAGAAAATCATCGACTATGTAAAGCAAAAATAGCATCAAAGTTAGCAGTAAAGTGATTTATTTTTTTTATTATTTAATGGAATTAAGACGGATCTAATTATTAACTCATATTGAAATCTATTTTTCATTCCACGGTCTTCCAAGCACAAATCATCAGGAAAGTATTAGTTGTATATATACTTGGATTGTTTATAGTATACATTACGTTATTGAATGGGCATGGGAGTGTCATCAAAACAGCAACACTAAAAATGTGTATTGCTTCTCATAATACATATTTATTTGGATACTACATATTTATTTGGCTAGTACATATTTATTCAGCGTACTATATGTATATTACATATACATATTATTACTCAATTGGGAAAAACTGTATCAAGAAAGGTCCAGCTGCATCATGTTATACGATACGATGTCCAGAAAATGTAGTATATCTATTAGTGTTACTGTACACAGTATAACCTCCCATATTTTCAACAGATATTTTGTCACCTTTCTGTAGACTAAATACAACATCAAATGTTCCGGTCTTATGGCCATCGCCCGTTACATAACTTCCTGCTGTATATTCACTGTTGTGTTTGACCTGGAGATAAAGGCTTTTACCATTCGCAGATATAACAGCTGCGGAAATATGATAGACGCCTTGCCGTGGAGCAGTAAATATCCCGGTACTTGGATCATATCCATTCCCTATGTTAGTCCAGACCTTCTCAAACTTGACATTTGTACGACTTGAAAAATACTGTGAATGTGTTGTATAAGCCGAGAATGCCACAGTGCTTTGTTTTTTCACCAATGCCTCGTAATCTATATAAAAAGAAGAATCAATTATTAGTCCATATAAGAATCATCTTAAATCGAAATTGTGTGATTCATCTCATGAAAAGCTACACATGTTTATTTTTGTCAATCAGTTGGAGTTTCATTGTAGATAAAAGGAATAAATATTTTTTCTATGACTACCTTATCAATATAGATAATCTGTATGCATTGTTTAATACTAGATTATTTATGATATTTTTGAGTTACCTCCCACGACATGTGTTTTATCATGCATTCTATAAAATTAAAGAGTCCATATGAAAAATTATATATGAATTTGAACATATTTTTTTTTCTACATACGATATATAAAAAATAATTTTGTAGACTTACCACCCATGAATCACTATTTGTGTGATTCTTATATGGACTCGTTCGTAATTGTAATCAAATTAATAAAGAATTTATAAAAATGTAAGAATGCATTTACAAAGTAAAATTCATAAAGAATGATTTGGAAAAAATAGGCTTAAAAATTTGCATGAAAAATATTATAAAAATAAATGATAAGTATTTGCAGTTGACAGCATAGGAATAAATGATTAAAATCTTCTTTTAAGTCATTGCTAATATTTTGTTATACATGAACAACCAATAGATCGAAAAAGGGTATATTTGTTTTGTCTTTTTTTTTTGTCTTTTTTTAAACGGTCAAAATTGAACAGGGATGAAATTAAGAACTATATAACTTTAAGTTTAACTAACATTTTTTGAAAGTTTTTTCGTCAATTCTATGTTTATCAAAAACACAAATTATATTACGAGCTACGCTAGATATTGTTGTTCAAGACATTATAGATGCATTATAATTGCAGATTGAATGTGTTTGTAAAACTGTTTGAGGTATTGAAAATGTCAGTAAAGAGTGGAAGAGTTTTCCGTATAGCCTAAATGATTTAATTCATATTTTTGAAATGACAATTAATTGGAAATTTACCTTCGTGAAATTTCATATTCATACCCATTTTGAGGCACATCCTTTTACGTAATAAGGCAATGTTAGATTAAATCTTGCACCTATATTTCTATTAACCCTATACGAAAATGTGCTTTGTAATGGTGACCGATTAGCAAAGATCAAATTACTACCCGAAATTTTAGCTAGTCACAAACTTAAACGATTGTTGACACCGTGAACGGCTATCAGGAAAAAAAGTCTACGTCAGCCACTTGGTCGAGTCGAGACAAAAATGTATCGCACGAAACCCTTGTTGTGTCACGTCACACATTGGTCTAGAGTTTGATCATTAAGCTTTGCATAGACTAGTGACATCATCGGATGTATTTACTTCAGGGAGATACAGTATTTGACAGATGGACGGATAGTGCGATTACTGTAAGGTCAACAAGTACATCAACTTATTGTGAAACAGAAATTAAACAAACAAAATACCAAACAATTAAAAAGCAAAAACCAGGCAGCTTTTTAAAAGCTTATACTTGTTTACACATCTTAAATCAGAGAAATATGTAAACAAAATGATGAGGCAGATTAATTATAAGATCACGGTGTATATTCTGAACACTTGCTTTCCGATAAGAGTAACTCTTGCTTTCAGTTTTTGTTCAGTCTTTGAACCATTAGTTTACTTTCCTTTCATTATTACTGCTCCATATCTCAAAGTTCGTGCATCACATAAGTTAAATAACACTAAATAATTTCGGCACCGAGCTGTGTGTCAGAAAATCTTCTTTATTACGTCAATAAGAATCTATTTTTCAGGATTTATTTGGTTTACAGCAATCGTTACCGAAGATGGAATCGGAGAGAAAGCGTGCTGTTATACACCGTGATATGAGCAGAGAAACATTTTTGCGAAAGCGTGCTAAAAAATATAACACCGAAAAGCTTATATTTAACCATTTTTTAACTAATCAACTTAAAATATAACTTTAAACAATACTTTGGGGCCTCATTGGCCGAGTGGTCTTAGTAGTACAAACACATTTATTACCAAGAGAAAAAAGTAGTCGAACTACTGTATCACTAGCCTGTCAACACTGAGGTTGTGAGTTCGAATCTCGCATGTGGCAGGTGCATTAGTCTCCATACTTATTTGACTAAGATTGTCAGTTTTTCTACCGAAGGTCGGTCGTTATCTCCGGCCACTCCTGCCTCTACTACCACCAATAAAAACTGACTGCCACGAAATAGCACAATAGTGTTGAATGTTACGTTAAACACCAATCAATCAATCAATGAAACAATACTTTTGCAAACAAATGGAGTAGAATATGAAATTATTAGAAAGCTTGAGAAATAAAGACTTCAGAGAAACATGGACATTTTCATGTATAAGGGTGAGAAAATTCACCTAGACTGATAGTTTATAAATTTGGTAGTGTCTTTGGGTACGACAAGAGAAATTCGCCTATTAAATACAATTTTATGTTATGACTCAACAGCTGATTTTACTAGGAATGGCATAAAGAGTGTTACTAGTGGAACATGGCCTGCCGAGCCTTTGGGAACATAAGGGTTTTATTATGTTTGTGTTGGTTTGTGTTGCTCGCACGATCAGTCTTGAGGAAAATTGTAGGGGTTGCCCTTGACAAATTATCATCAATTCATTACACATCAAAAAGTCAAAGAAGTTATAAAATATGAGAGAAATGAGAAAATGCATGTATAAATCACGTGGTACGACTTTTATTATATGAATCCCTACCTTTCTGCTGCTTTTCAATCAGTTGGTGAACTGTTCCATTGGAGGAGAGTCGGAAGTTTTGCAAGGTGAGATCAAATGATTGATTAAATCGCTTTTGCTCTTGGTGAAGAGTATTCTGCATTAATTCCATAGCATTGTTTCTGTTTTTTTCGGCGACAATTAATTCTTCTATTTTCGAAGACAGAGATTCTAACATAGTATTTATCTGTTCTCCGTGATATTCAGTTTCATTTTTCGATTGAATCTTAAAGCGTTCGACAATTTCGTGGTATGAATCGTTATGTCGTAATTGTTCCTGTAATTGGATATCTCGCATTGACTTTACAAATATCTCTGTTTGTTTAATGGCTTCATCCATTTTTTCCAATTTATAGGAAAATGTTTTTTCCCACTTTTTCAACTTTTCTTTATTCAAGTCCATTTTATGTTCCAAACGTACAAGTTTTTCTAAAACCTTTTCTTCAAAATGAAATTTTGAACAGGACATTAACGATTCGGAATTTGAACCAATTGAACTAGATCCAGAAGCCACAATCATTAGGCTTATAAGGAGGACACAGACCAGCAACATCTTCACCATTACTTTCCCAAAAAACATGCATTCAAATTTAACTGCGACCACAGTTACAACGTTCGTAATTTGAATACAGTTTATTCTGACACTTTAATCCTTGACGATGACATATCACAGGCTCACATAAGACACTAAATCGCTCACCTGGCAAACACAGAACATTTTGAAATTTTAGTTATATATATATATATAGCAAATATACATGACATGACGGGTGTAATGAGTGCGATCAATCTCAATAACTATTTTCTTCTGTAACGGGATCAGATTGTTTCTTTATGCTAAAATCAGGAATGAAATTCATTTGTATAATTAACATTTGTCTCCACATGTGGAGCAGGATTTGCTTACCCTTACGGAGAACCTGAACAACATCCCCAACCCTCCAGTAACTGGTGGGCTCGTGTTGCCCAGGTTGTTTTTTTGTTCTTCTTTGTTTTTGTACTGTTTTTCATTTCCTCCTTTTTCTTTTTTTTTTTTGTTATAGCATTGTCAGATTGTTTTCGTCTTATGAGGTTGAATATCCCATTGGTATTTTTTTCCTCTCTTTTACAAAGCTCACCTCTTTTCAAAATTAAATAACCCTCCTCTTAACAGCAATTATAATATACATTACAACAGAATTGTTATATGAAGAACTCAATTAGCTTGTTTATCATTTTTAGTGATTACTATTTCATTGTGTTGATTTCAAGGAAATATTTAAAACTTTTAATGATTATATATAAAAATCATCAACAAAGGGTTATTACTATTCATAGTGTCGATCATGTGACAAATAAGTATCTTTATGTCTTGGTGATCACTTTTATTGTGTACAGTTTATGTTACATATTTGAGATTCAAAAATTAATGCAAACATTTGTGAAATACCTATATTTGAAATCAAACAACGTTGTCAGCCTTGTCAGCATTTTTAAAGATCTTGTATTGCTGATAATTTTTCTATAAACAGTTTATATGGGCTTTGCTCATTGTTTAAGGCCGTATGATGACTTATAGTTGTTAATTTCTGTGTCATTTGGTCTCTTGTGAAGAGTTGTCTCATTTGCAATCATACCATAATTTACTCCGAATGGCAATATATTATATTTTTCTTCTTCCCCGAAATAAAAAAACATAATAGCCGATTTTAGATTTTGTCGTTTTATCCCTGTGTAGGATTCTTAGATATTGCAGTTATGATGTTTGGTTTGCAGGGACAAAACAAACACAACCATTTTATTAGATTTTGAATGGATCATTCGAATGAAATTAGTTGAAACTGGTTCTGTGGTTTTTTAATGAGATTGTTTTTTTTAAACATGTCGGACTTCCCGATGGCAATATCATGCACGGCTAGTAGATCCAGGTGAGCTTTTAAGTGTGTTTCCTTACGAAACAAAGTACCTTGTCAGCAGATTCTTGTCAATATATAAATTTCTATCTTTTTGCAATATCAAGGCTTAAAATCTTAAACGACAAAAAGAAATTTGACAAATGTAAAAACAATTGCCTTATCATCGCTGTGATAATAACTGTTTTAAGTGCTTTTTTTCATACACTTATATCAAGAAGTCAAGTTCTGAGAACTTGTCAAAATAATTTTACAGGACTTTGCACAAACAAGATTTAGAATTTTATAAACTTATTCACCTCTTACTATGACCAAGAGATATTCATGTAAAAAGACACGTGTTTATTTCTTGTTAAATACCACATATTTGAACTTCAGGGACGTGTAAGCTTATTGCCGAAGCTGTCATTAGATAATGTATTGTCGTGAAATGTATATCAATATTGAAAACCAAATGCATATTAAAGCATTTCAGAAAACCGGCAATTTTTTATCCAAGCAATATATTGGTTTTCATTCAGTTAACTATACAAAATATGGAATATAAACAGCTGTTACGCTTACCTCTAAAGAATTATTGATTAAGTAGACCAAATTGGCTTCCTTAAAGTCATATGAAACTTCAAAATTAAAAAACAGTTAAACATGTTTTATATACTTGAATGGCTAAGTTGTACTCTAAAAGAAGTGAACGTGAACTTTTTTTTCGAAAAAAAAATCCTTTTTATTATCAAAATCTTCATAAATGTACCGATATTGAATTATTGGCTTCCAAATCACTAATTCGCCGATATTTTCCCGTATGCAGTGACCTTAACTACGAGACCTCTCGCTATTATTTCGGCAACCGCAGAGCGCAAGTGCGAGGGGAAAACCGTGATGAAAGAATGTTAAAACACGTGCTCTTGAAAGTAAATAAAAATAACAGATTCTTATTGAACAAATCTAATACAACAAATCATATTTAACAACTGCCAAGAAATAGTTTAATTAACAAATGGCAACGCATGGAAAATATAAAAACAAATGGCATGGCTCTTTCAATTCACTTATATGTTGCGCTTTCCACGTGCTCTGTTTTTATTGTTTATCAATATCACGATCCGGTAAACTTCGGCAACAAACTCGAATATAATAAGCTTGCGTTCAACAACCACTGAATGAAATATTATTTGTCGATAATACGTTATAGATGTGTTACAGTAATGAATATAAAAAAGGTGCATGCTAACTTAGTTTAGTATATATGCATGCATTGGTTCAATAATTTCGATAACATTAAAATTTCAAGAAACTCGTTGCATATGACTTTAACTGTTACAGATAAAAACAATTTTGTTATTTTCAAGCATAAAACTTAACTGTCACATCATGTTACAATTGCAAAAATAAATCAAATGACCAGTTTACGTACTTCATTCTTTGTTTTGTTTTTGTTGTTTTGTTTTAGTTTGTTTTATTTTATTTTATTTTATTTTGTTTTGTTTTGTTTTGTTTTGTTTTGTTTTGTTTTGTTTTGTTTTATTTTGTTTTGTTTTATTCTGGTCTGGTCTGGTCTGTTTTATTTTTTAATTTATTATTAAATTTTTTAGGGGTGTGACGTGTGAAAAGTGTTTGAGACAAATATATCCCTTACGGTAAAATAAATAAAACTCTGTTTATCATTTCTGTTTCAAGATAAACACAAGTAAAATTTAACGAAATGATATTCTACTATTCCAAGCAGGAGTCTCCATATATCTAGTGTAGGTACAATCGACATTTGATTATTTTTAGATATTTGATTTAATCGACAATATTGTGATATATTTCATCTTAATTTCTTGACCTTATCATATACAAAGAAGCTGATAAAATAGCGACATATTCCAGGGACTCATCCTTACCACTCTTTGCATTTTAAGATTTTATGTTTTGCATAGGAAAACAAACAAACAATTAAATTGAACTCGTAATTTCTTGGCTGTAGCATAAAATGTAATTATAAAAACTGTTCTGACCTAATTACCTTACATTTCTTTGTAAAACAAACCATCGTATAAATAGAATATGACAACGTGTGTATTTCGCGCGGAAAATCACACACTGCAAAAGCATGTCAAAATGCGAAATAGTAATTCATTAGAATTACGTAAGCAGTTATTGATTATCTTTTTTTATTCACAAATCCCGAGTCATTATACAAAGAAATGTATAGGTTGGACTTTGTAAATACAGCTGTTTCACAAACCATGCCTCTTTTGGGGAAGATATATAATATTCATTGATATTTTGTTTTGTTTACGTACTGGTTCCCAGATATGATCTCTATGTTTCATCTCATAGAGACATAACTTGGGAATGTTACCAGTATAAAAGTACATAGTTGCGGTGAAAATTGAATTCTGAAGTAGGCCAAAAGTGAAGTCAGGGGTAGTACAGAATTTTAGTATAAGTTTAAACTCTAACAAGTTCGGGGCATATAAATGTTGAAAATATGCTGCACAGCCCTATGTTTTGACCTTTGAATAAAATAGTAATGCATATCAACTTTCCATTCTAGGATATAATTTTTTACGAAACTTCATAGTAAAAGTGGCACAGTTTTAGCCGCAAAGGGAGTTCCTATGGGAAATTGCATTGTCTATATTTACAGAAATGCAACCAATAGAGACGAATAGGTCAATGTATTTGAAAATGAGGACTTTAGGATTTATCTATGCAGGTGAATATCGGAGAAAATCGATCTTTTTACCCTTCCACATGGTAAATGTTATGTACATTCCGTAATCCAGGAACCTTATTTTCAATCACATTTTGTATATCTTAGTGTTGAGGCAATTGATTTCAGCTTATATTTATCTTTGCCCGTCCCAGTTACGAATAGGAGGCATTTTATAAACCCTTTTAAATTCCTTCAAATTTCTAGACTCCGGACGATTTATTTAGCTGAAGTTTAGACTCTTGTCAATTGTTATAGAACGTGGGTATACCTCTTAATGTTTTTTTTTTGTATTGTTGAGTTTCTTTTTTCATTGACGTATACCTTACATTTCCTGTTATTCTGTCGGTTTAGTACAAAGCAAGGTTCATTTTCATTATAACATTAATATATAGATATAGGAAGATGTGGTATGAGTGCCAATGAGACAACTCTCCATCCAAGTTACAATTTATAAAAGTAAACCATTATAGGTCAAGGTACGGCCTTCAACACGGAGCATTGGCTCATACCGAACAGCAAGCTATAAAGGGCCCCAAAAAATTACTAGTGTAAAATCATTCAAACGGAAAAACCAACGGTCAAATCTATATAAAAACGAGAAACGAGAAACACGTATGAAATACATAAACAGACGACAACTACTGTAATCAGATTCCTGACTTTGGACAGGTGCAAACATTTGCAGCGGGATTAAACGTTTTAATGGTACTAAACCTTCTCTCTTTTCTGAAACAATAGTATAACATCACAACATAGAAAACACACTATAAAATATGTTTCAATTCTGATAAGCATGTATTAATTGCCACTGGACGTTAAACATAAAGCAATCATCATCAATATATTATTGTTGTCTCGTGTCATAATCTTTTCGAATAAATAAATATTTCAAGTTTATCATATTTCTTTTTATATTTATATCACTATTAAACCGATATATTCATTGCATCGTTTTTTCTCCCATCACAGCAGATATCTAATTATATATTCTTGTAGAAT